CCAGCTGGAACTCTAATCGTTTTCCAGCTCTTGAAGGAGAAAGCTGACACAGGACTATGGGCTTACTTGGAGCCTGGTACTCAGAACTTTTCATCTCACATGATACTCTCCTGTGAGAATCCAGGCACCGCTGTATTTTCAATGGGGCAGCCCTGCATTACCCCGCAGACGTCTAAGATGGGATGTGGATATCCATAGGCCTGGTTGGAATGTAAGTCTTTGAAGCTATCCTAGGACAGAGCCCCTGAAGAGGACACTGAGAACAAAACGTCCACAAGCAAAGGGACAGATAAATTCTTAGCAGGAGTGTGACAATGGGACCCTGTGCTACTTTTCTAGGCTATTTGCTTGCATTTTTGTGTAACAGGCCCCCAGACCTTAGCACAACTGACTCCATGATGGAAGTGCCATTCAGACCATAAAACTCAGCATTAGACATTGCCATCTGCCAAAATGAAAACAAAGACCTAATCCATCAAAGTTCATAATTCTGGGCAAGTCTCTAAATGTACAGTCTTTTGGCTTCTGTAGTTCTGCTTCTGGTTAACTCTTTTTGTTAACTGAAATATGTCAACCTAGAACATGGTTTTTATGCTTAAAAGCTCTCCCTGAGAAGGACTCAGGGCTACACTGGGATCCTGGACATCCAGTGTAGTCACTGACTGGCTAATAAAGACTTTCTATTGGCTTAAAGCCATATCTGAGCAGTCTTCTCTGGTGGATATCCACAACAGTTTGTTTGTTCATCTGTTTTCTTGTGGCTCTGAGGACCAACCCAGAACCTCAGGCAGGCTGAGACTTCTCCACGAAGCTGTATTTCCAAAGCTCATTTTACTTTTTATTTTGCAGTTGGGTCCCACTTAATTTCAGGCTAGCCTTGACTTTTCTCTTTAGTGCAGGAGAGATGGATATGGGGAAGTTCCAATTCTGCATTATAAAGATACACATATACTCCACATTGTAAAACGGACCATCCCATCCAGGTAACAGTTTGCCTGTTCTGAATCGTCTGCTTGCCTGAGCCCAAACAGCTATAGAATGAGGGAAGTCAGAAGAGGTGACGAGGAGAGAGACAGGAGGGCTGCAAGAGCCTCAGTTTCCCTACCGATGAGTACTGAGTGGGAACTTACTAGGATTTCTCTCTCCTTTGTGAAATAGTGAAGGGGGTCTTTCTTACACAGAATAGGGTAGAAGTTTCTTTAAATATATGTCTGAAGCTGGGGCGTTAGAGCTAGTGATAGCCTACACCTTTAATCCCAGCATTTGGGAGGCAGAAGCAGGTGGCTCTCTGAGTTCTGAGCTAGCCTGATCTACAGAGTGAGTTCCAGGACAGCAAGGGCTACACAAAGAATCAGACCATGGGTTCAATCCCCTGCACTGAGGAGTGGGGAAGCCATAATGTCTCACTGAGGAGATGACCAATAATGATTCTTTTTTCTTGGGCTTGGCCAAGTAGGTTATACAAAAGCAAGCTGACTTGTTCTGTCATGTTACTGTTGTCATCCTTTGGGGGTGGGGGGAGGTGGTGATAGTGTTTCTGTCATCTGCGCTGTTGCCCTTTTTTGTCTTGTTGCTGTCATCTCATCTTTATTATTGTCATCATTACACCCGATCTTTGCTAAAAGGCAGAGAAATGATCATCATTATTGTGATTATTATTTGTTTTATTGGGGGTCGAACTCAGGTCCTCATACAAACTGGGCAAATGTTCTTTCAAAGATCTGCCTGGAGCTGCCTCTTCCTCCCCTCCTCCTACTTCTTCTTTTAATAGAGGCAGGGTCTCATAATAGCCCAGGCTGGCTTTGAATTCACTATGTAACCAAGACTGGCCCTGAATTTCTGCCTCAGACTCCTCAGTGCTGAGATTACAAGCAAGCACCACCACAACTAGGTATTTTTATTGTTGGGATCATGTTAGCCCCAAGTCTGAGATCCTCCTGCCTCAATCTCCTGAGTGCTAGGACTCCTCTTATCATAAGGAGTCACCTTGTGGAATTCATCCCTGTGAGATAAAACTGGCCAAAGCTAAAGCCATCAGATGCCACTGTCAACCCATGAATATCCTTTTTGTTTGTTTGTTTGTTTTTTAAGATAGGATCTCACTATGTAGCAGTGGCCTGCCTGGAACTTGCTATGGACACTAGGCTAGCTTCAAATTCACAGAGATCCATCTGCCTTTGCTTTCCAGGTGCTGGCACTAATGTGCAGTTCATTTGGGTGTAGTGGCACACACCTTTAATTCCAGCACTAGGAAGACAGAAGCAGGCAGATCTCTGAGTTGAAGGCTAACCTAATCCACATAGTGAGCTCCAGGGCAGCCAGGACTACATCGAGAGACTTGTCTCAGAAAACAAACAAACAAAAATCCCCAAAACACTAAAAATAAAATGAAGTGTATGAGTCTAGAGTTCTCAGCACTTTCATGAAGTTGTGTAGCCCTCACCGAAGTCTTAGAGAATTCTTATAACAACACACCTTGTAGGGTCCCTTCCCAGACTCAGATTTCTTCTCCCAAGGCTCGGGCATTACTAGTCCACCTGCTAATCTATCTGTGTATTGGCTTTTTCTGGACACTTGCTGTAAGTAAAACATACAACATGTGGTCCTTCCCCTCACTCAGCAGAGACTTTTGATGGTCTATCCACAGTATAAGTAGTAGCACTTCATTGTTTTAGGGTTGAGTAACATCCTGCTTTGCCATTACATGACATTTGTTTATCCAGGCATCAGTTGATGAGCACGAGTTGCTTCCACCTCTAGGCTCTTGTGAACAATGCTGCTGTGCATGTTGGGTGATGTTTATATGAGGACCTGTGTTTTCATTTCTTCAGGGTGTGTGTCTAGTTTGCTGTCCACATGTTCAGCAGAAAGATACTTTACACATTCAGGCCAAGATCCCTCTGAACATCCAGAGAACAAATCCTGACCCCAGATACGGTAGGTGAAGCTGAAACTGTACCCCACCTTCGAGGCTCATTTCATTTTTGTGAACACTCATTGTATATGTATGTGTTCTCTACCTGGTTTCAGGTACTGTGTTGTAAATAGCATGTAACAACACAGAACATTCTTTTTTTTTCTTCATCTCAAATTTATTCTTTTTTATTAATTTATTTTTTACTTTCCAGTCCTAGGTCCCCTGCCCTCTTCTCCCCCCCCATTCTTCCCCCCTCCATCTGCTCCTTAAAGAGGGTATGGCCTCCTTTAGGAAGTCTACTAAGTCTGCATAGAACATTCTTATCCTTTAGAGGGCTGAAGATTCAATGTGGGCAATAAGGAAATTAAATATGCTAGTGTAACTTCCTCCCTGAAGCTTCCCACGGCATCCCAAGAAAGGCCAGACTCTACTCTGATAGTGTTCATATATTTATTTGATTATTTGTTTGAAACAGGGTCTCTTGCAACCATTGCTGGCCACAAATCACTATGGAGTCAAGGAAAGCTCTGAACTTCTAAAATTATTGTTATTAAAGTGTGTGTGTGTGTGTGTGATGGCATGTGTGTGTGTGTGTGTGTGTGTGATGGCATGAGTGTGTGTGTGTGTGTGTGTGTGTGTGTGTGTGATGGCATGAGTGTGTGTGTGTGTGTGTGTGTGTGTGTGTGTGATGGCATGAGTGTGGAGGTCAGAGGACAACGTTTTGGAATGAGTTCTCTCCTTCCACTGTAGGTTCCAGGGGTCAAACTGAGGTCATCAGGCTATTGGGGGGGGGGGAATCACTTTTACCAGCTGAGCCATCTAAAACTGCTGCTGTGGCCTTGAACTTCTGACCTTTCTGCTTCCACCTCAGAGGTGTGTGTGCCAGGTTTATGTGGGACTAGGGATGGAGTCCGGGAGTTTACATATATTAATTAATCAAGCACTCTATCAACTCAACTATATTCACAGCCCTTTATACTAGTCATTTGAGATAGGGTTTCATGTAGCCCAGGCTGGCTTTGAATGTGCTATGTAGTTTAGATTGACCTTAAATACTTGACTCTCAAGCCTTTCCACTTCCCAAGTGCTGGAACTACAGGCTAACATCATCTCTGACTATTTGTCATTGTTTGGTTCAAAAGCAAATTCTCTATTAACACACTGTGATAATGCACATACAGCCCTCGGCACATCTGAGGTACTACAGAGGAAGGATTTACTGTGGTCTATGTGCCCTCCCATTTGTGCCCATGTGGAGGAAGACATATCAAAACACTGGCTTGCAGTCTGGCATCCTCAGCTCTCAGGACAGACCCAGGTGAGCAGGGACTAATATGGGAATTATGACAGTGACAGCCTTTTCCAGCTCCATCAAGGTCACCCAAGCCAGAGGTTTTCGTCTCTCAGTTTTGAAGAATGAGACTCATGAACCTCACAAGGTGAGTTTTAGAGGAGAGTAGGTACAGTAAGAAGCTGAAGGAGAAAAAGAAGGCCAAACTCCTGGGCAGCAGAAGGGTCCTAGTGGGATTGCATTGAGCTTCACTGCCTGGGGGTTAATGGGGCTTTAGTGGACGGAGGAAGGGCAGAAGATGGGCTGGTCAGCCCAGTTTTCATTCCAGGTGTTGAGGTCATTGAATTTTGCCCTCAATATGGTTTCCAGGAAAGAGGTATGCCTTTGGGGGAAAAAAAAAAGGTGGAGAGCCTCTTCTTGGCGTCTCCAGCCTCTGGCCACAGTAAAACCAGAGACACTTTTGGCTTGGACATTTCAAGCATCCCTAGCCTCTGGCAAGGATAAGGATCTGGACATGCCCCAGGACATTTTTGGCTTTTAGCCAAGAAAGACTTTTTTATTTGGGCTTTTTACCAAAACTAAACTGCCTAGCCAGCTTTCACCTGTTATCAGCAGTTGGGACAGCTTTCTTTCCTACCTTTCCCACAAGTTTCCTGAGTTCCTCGGCCATCCCACTCACCTGGAGTTCAGTAACCATACTTCCACTCCTGTCTTTAACTTGGAGACTACCAGCAGAGCCTTGACGCGTGGCTTTCTTATAGTCACAGCCTGGGTATAAAATACCATGATGTTGTGCTCGATTCGGCAGCACATATACTAAAATTGGAATGGTACAGAGATTTGAATGGCCCCTGCACAAGGATGACATGCAAATTCATGAAGCATTCCATATTTTAAAAAAGAATGATGTCATGGGGCATTCCTATTACTTGGTAGACATAAGGATTGGAGAGATCTGAGGGTGGCTGAAGGAGACCCTGGGGTGGGGCGATGCTATTCCTTGTCAGAACAAATAGGACTATTTTTTGTTGGCTAGCCTACCAATGGGGAAGGTTCCTACATGGGACTGATGGCCTGGCAGGAGTTTGGAATTTCATAACATGCCTTGGACAAGAGTTCAAGGTTTGTTTTTGTTTTGTTTTGTTTTTTTTACCAGGACCTTGGGCTTGGTAGGAAAGAGCTCTACCCTGGGCTACAGCCCCAGTCCAGTTCTAGTTTTAATTACCTTCCTTGGTCTGAGTATTCCTAAGGCTAAGCACTAAACCAGGGTGCTGCGAGCTTCATGAGGCCAGGAGTGCTCCATTGGGACGCCAGCCATTTCCAGGTCCCGGATTCCGCATGGCCTTTCCGATGAATGCAGTAGGCGATGTCACTTCTTCCCGGTGCAAGGTTCTCGCGGGTTCCCTGGAGAGCATCTCCGGTCCGGTGAAGAGATAACACAGACTATCGGCTTCTTCCGGAATCCAGCTGCGCGATATGGACCTAGGATAAGCAGTTTAGGGAGTCCCAGGACGAAGGGGTGGGGCCGGCGACGTCGCGGGGTGGGGGCGCGGCCGATGGGTCACGTGGCGAATCAGCCCAGTAGCGGGCGGAGCTGCAAGGGTACTTAGTGGTGCGCTCCAGAGGCCAGGAGCGGCTCGGTTCGGCTCGGCGGCTGCAGGCCCAGGCTGTAGCGCTGCGCTCGGTAAGTGTGCCCGGGGCGCTTTGGTTCCGCGACGGAAGTCACCTTGGCTGGGGACGGGGAACGGGCAGTGGCGAAAGGCCCCCCGAGAATGGTCGCGGTCCGCGGGGAGAGGATTCCTGAGTCCGGCCGCTGCAGGCGAACAGCCCCGGCGGCCTGCACGCACTTAGGGCCGGGCCTGGGGACCTCGCGCGGGTCGGCGTCCCTCCGGTGGCCTTGGCGCACTCCAAAGGCGGAGCTGGGGACTTCGGGGAGCTCTGAGGGAGGAGCCTGCAGGGAAGGGTTCGGCCCTGGCTCTCCTTCCAGCTTGCAAGCTCCGGGTCTTAGTGGTGCTCAGAGCGAGTATCGACCTGCATCTAGTGAAGGTTTGTGTCTTAGTCTAAAGAATCTGCCCCGGCAACTTACCACACATAAGCCCACGCAGTCCCTGGCACCCTAAAAGACCGGTCCTATTGAAAACAGAAACAGAAAACAGTGGGTGGCTGGGATGGAACCTGCACGAAGAGTTAAACCGAGAAACAGGAAGAGAAGCGAGTGCAGTAGAGGATAGGGGTGCTCGGGGCTGCACTCCCTTTCTCTGCATGGGGGTGGCCAAGACGATGGGAATGTGGAGGGGGGGAGGAACATGCAGGACAAGCTCCTTCAGTGAGGGTCTTGCTGGCCCGGAAGCGATGTGGGGTCGGTCTGCACCGGCAGGACTTGCGGACCAGGAGACGGGTGATTTGGTCTTGGTCCTCTAGGGGTCTGGAGTAAAGGACTAAGCCCACCCTCACGTTACTTCCGTCTGACCAGATTCCCTCACCCGTTTGCAAGGGAAATAGATTGTGCGGTTCAAAAGGAAGCTTAACACTTGGTGTCCGAGTGCCGAGGGTTAGGGTTATCAGGCCAGATTCAGAAGGGTAGCATGTGGAGAACGTTGCTGAAGGTGCTCTCATCCTCCCTCGAAGCCGTTCGGGGGGAGAATTGCTTCTCATAGGTTCTGGCCATGGTGACCTAAAACTCCAGAGTTCCCAGAGACACACCAGAGCCAGCACTTGGAAGGCTGAAGCAGGAGGATCCCTGTGCATTGGAAACTAGCCTGGGCTACATAATAAATTCCAGGGCAGTCTGACTATAGAGTGAGACTGTTTGCCCTCCCAACTTTTTCTCCCAAAAAAGGACATGCTGGGAAAAAGGCAGCATGGAGGAAAATGACCTCTGCTCCTTTAAAAGCACGTGAGCCAGGCCTGTAGGGATCAACTGCTAGGGGCTAGGGGTGGAAGGTGGGCTAGTGTTTGTGCTTCACCAGCCCAGGTGGCTTCAGAGGCTTCCAGCTCAAGTTAACACTATTTCAGATTAGTCAGGCAGAGGAGGTAGGAGCTCTTGGCTCCAGGCTGGAACTGCCCGGTGAAGTGCTGATTCAGCAGTCCAGGTTGAGACTCTCTGTGGTATGGGTGGAAACCTTTAGATGTCAGAGCCTCAGGTTGGCCGACTGACTTTTTGATGGTCTGTTGTAAGGAAAATATTAGGTATGTGTGAGGTTGAACTATATGCAATGGAACTTTTGAAAGTCAGAAAGGAAACCAGAGACTTGCATGTGAATGATATGATTGATGAGAGATGGTGGGCTAGCAAAGGTGAGGTGTACAAAAGTCTGTGTTGTCTTTGCTTGGCTAGTAGTTTATATCCCCAGTCCATCATCTCAGTGCTCTCTAGGAGCTGCCTAAGAAAGGGTGGAGTCCTTTTCATTGCTGTAGTTTATATTCCACCCTACTTTGAGCATGGTGGAAGTTTGGCTTGGTTGTATGCTGGAACTGTCTGGTTTATCTGTGGTGCTGAAATCCAACCCTGGGCCTTGTGCGTGCTAATCATACACTCTGCCCCTAGACTATACTGTACCCAGCCAGCTTTAGCCAGTCTCTTCCCTCCTCCATCCCTCTGAGCTTTCAAAACAGGTCGCTTGAAATGGGCAGTCCTGCCTCCGCCCTCCCACATGCTAGGGTTACAGACATGAGCTATCACTCCTGGGTTAGTACTTTTTTTTTTTTTTTTTTTTTTTTTAAATAGGTCTCATCACTCACTGTGTAGTCCTGGCGAGCTTGGAACTGGGTATGTAGACCAGGATGGCTCAAGCATGAAGGAATGCACAAACTCACAGATAAACCTGCCTGTGCCTCACCAGTGCTGGGATTAAAGGTGTAGGCCACCATTCCCAGAAATCCCTTCATTTTTAGCTTCAAGTCTGAACTCTCCTTTCTGCAGACCTGACCAGGCTCAGGTTTGGGATAGAGGTGTGTGGCTCCACTCTGACAGGACATGTTTCACTGTGATCAGTTTGGCTCCTAGACTTGCTTTGTCTTTCACAAGGACTTTAGCAACTAACTGTTCTTTCCTTATTCTTTCCTACGTGTGCTTGAAATACAATGTATCGATCTGTAAGTGTTGTTTTATGTAACTTAATTATACTATGTGTCTTGTTCACCCAGTTGATGAGATTTGCTGATGTTGATGCCTGCAGATTTAATGTTTAATTTGTTGGAGAGGAGTGGCAGTGTGACAAGAGGTCTCGTGTAGCCTAGCTTAAACTCACCAGGTAGGTGAGGATTAGTTTGAACTCTTGATACTCCTGCCTACCTCCCAGGTGCTGAGATTCCAAGCGTGCACTCTGTCATGCCTAGGAAATTTTGTCTCTAAGTCTTTTTTGTTTATTTGTTTGAGACAGTCTTTCTGTGTAGTCCTGGCTGCCCTGAAACTTATTATGTAAACCAGGCTGGCCTTGAACTCACAGAGATCCACCTGCCTCTGCCTCCTGAGTGCTGGTATTAAAGGTGTGTGCCAGTAGGCCTGGTCTTGAATGTGTTGACCTGGGGGACAATTAACATTCCCTACATGCATTTCTTTTCCTTATCCCTTGTCACTCTTGCCCATGCTGGCACAGTAAATTCTCCTGGGTGAAAGCAGAAGTAGCATAAGCTTCTGGACATAGGCCTGCACACCTTTTGTTTTGTTAGATAACGATGATGCCCCCACCCTTCTGTGACTGTGTCACCTTCTCCTCACAGTTCAGGAGCTCCCGTCCCTATATCCCAACACCAGATCTTACCAGACCCTAACTGTCAATGTGATGGGTTTCAGAAGGTCCCTGTGCCTTTATTGCTGTGAGTAGATATTCAAGTTTAGTTCCTTGTCAGAGGAAAGCCTTTATTAGTGAAGCTCTCTCTGGTTTTGTGGTTGGTCACAAGAAGCACTTGTCCTAATGTTCATTTTGTGGTTGTTTACTATTTTAATCCTAGCACTCTGTGAGTTCATGGCCAACCTGGTCTACATATCAAGTTCTAGGTCAGCCAGGGCTACATAATGACCCTGTCTTAAAACATTTTTAAAAAGTTTGGGTTGGGGGGGTTGTTTGTTGTTTTGTTGTTGTTGTTTGTTTTTTGAGATAGGATCTTAAATAGCCCAGGCTAGCTTCAAACTTGAAATGTAGCCAAGGATGACCTCGAACTCAAGTTTATTTCTTCTGCTTGTGCCTTTCAGGTGCTGAGCTTAAAACATGTATACCACAGTGCATCTACAATTGTCTGGGTTTTTTAGGCCACAAACCTGGGTAGCTGAACTTAGCTGCAATTAGATATAGTTTCTAAATAGTTTTGTATGTATGCATGTTTGTATGTGTGTAGTGGGGACAGAGGTTGACACTGGGCATCTTCCTAGGTTGCTCTCCACTTCATGAGGCAGGGCTACTTACACACAGAGCTCACTGATTGTCTAGTGTAGCTAGTCAGCTTGCCCCAGTACTCTTTTTTTCTCTGACTCCCAAATGGTGGGATCACAAATGCAGGCACCAAGTCTTCATAGCATTTATTTGGGAATTAGGGGTTCAAAATCAGGTCCTCATGACTGCATAGCAGTACTTTCCCCACAGAACCATCTCCTCCAAGCCCTAGTTTCTAATTTTTAAAATTCAGGCAGTATGTGAAAGATGAGACAGATGAGAAAGTGAAGTCACCTGCAAGTTTATAATATGGTTAGAGTTGCTTAGGTAACAATGGTGGAACGTGACCTCGAATTTGATCTCTGGAAGGCGATTGATCCCTACTCAGGTACAGCCAGGGATTCAGGGATTGCCTGTGGTCTCCTTTCATGCCTTTGTTTCCCTCATTGTGAAAAAGAAACCTACAAGACTGGAGGGCTCTTTCCAGACTGTTGTTTTATAAAAGCTGAGGGCTGAGAAGGACCTGTAGTCTGTGATCTCAACTGTTAACCTGTTTTTACTAGGCCAGTAACTCTATAGCCTGGCCAAGATTATATGGCTTTCCAGCAGGCAGGGTGGGAGAGAATGGGGTTGATAAACACCAGGTTAGCGTCCACAGAATGCTAGAGAACACTGAGATAATCTGCTCTCACAGCAGAGTTGGCTGCCCTCTGACCCTCTGCTCTGGTCCAGGCAGGAGGTGCTCATCCATAGGAGTCACATGTCCTTGTGGCTTGCCTAAGGCAGCTGGTGCTGGCCGGCTTGTGCCGATGAGAAACCATATCGGGATTCAAGCAGTCTTCCACTCATTCTCGACTTATGGATCCCCTCTGGTTTGGGGGCTGTACTTTGTTTCGATAATCAAATAGTAGAATGTATATCAGATAAGAATGTATATCAGTATATAAGGCCTTATTACAAATTGATGGTCATAATTTTTTACCCCAATTAGGAGACCTGGTAGGGAGACGAAGTATTGTGAGACAGAGTCTCATATTCGAGGTTGGCCTCGGTTCACAGTGTAGCCAAGGATGGCATTGAACTCCTTATGCTGCCTCTTCTTGAGCTGGTGTTATGGGCATATACCATTACCTCTGGTTTAATGTGATGCTGGGGACTGAACCCAGGACACTAGGCAAGCACTCTGTCAGCTAAAGCATATTCTTGGTCTCAAACTGGGATGCTTTTTAAGATAAAGATAATTACCCCAGGACAGTGAGTGCTGGTCGCTGTGTGTGCAGAGAGCTACACAGTCAGTTGGCAGAGACCAGAG